CCCACTGTTCAGTTGGCCTGGGTGCCGGGCCCCCGGGCGCGAAGTGGGGAGTAGCAGGGGTCTGGGTGCCGGGCCCCCGGGCGCAAAGCGGGAGTAGCAGGGGCCTGAGTGCCGGGCCCCCGGGCGCGAGGTGGGAGTAGCCGGGGCCTGGGTGCTGGGCCCCTGGGTGTGAAGGGGGAGTAGCAGGGTCTGAAGGCAGTCAGATGGCAGATGCAGCTCCCTCTCACATGTCGGAGCGTCCTGCCTGGAAGAGACAAGTGTAGGGATGTAAATGCACACTGAGAAGGCCGAGCAAGCCAGGGGGCCACCCCAGGCCCTCGGGTCGCCCTGGGTTGGCGGCATTGCTGCCTGGGGATGGCTGGCAGATGCTGGTACCAGGGCAGGGAGGTTGAGGGCGTGAACGATTCTAACCCCGTGCCCGGGAAAGCAGCTCGCCTCACCGGGGACAGGGCCTTGCATCTGTGACACAGTAACCCAAGGGCAGTAAGACCCTCGTCTGGGGGCTGGTGAGGAAAGTAAAGCAGTGTTGTTGTTGGAAACTGCGCCCGCACTAAAACTTTACTATGATTCACTCCTGGATTTCAGCACCAAAAAGAAAAAAGTGGGTGGCGGGGAGGCTATAGCTCACTGGTAGAGCACAGTCTAGGATGCAGGAGGTCCTGGGATTGATCCTCAGAACCTCCGTTAGAAAACAAACAACAACAACAAAAAATCATCAAACTTTACTTGGAGGAGCCCTCCTCCCGGCTATTCTCAGAGCTCTCATTTTATGAGTGACCTTAACAACCTTAGTTTCACAGCAGGTTGGCGATCACGCATTGGGAGAGGCAGCAAATACGACAGTGGGCAGCCAGAGTGCCTGCTGCCTGTCAGGCGACAGGTGCTTGAGAACGTTTGTTGAATGATTGATGGATGGATGAGTGAGTGATTTATCCCACATTCTTCCTCAGGCATTTGTGGACGAGGAGCTGGACCCTGAGGCTCGGGGAAGAGCAGGACGAAGACAGCCAGTCCTCCCCTCGGGGACTCACAGCTGAGGGCGGACCAGAGCACAGCATGGCTGGAACAGCCAGATGGGCCTTAGAGACTGGGTTGAGGTCTGAAGGATGAATGAGAAAAAACTATAATTTTACATGGAAAACCTACCTGAGAGAAGACACAGGAAAAACATGAAGAGCTTGGTTCTCGTGAAGAAATTACTTTAGTGGATGTTTAACTTCATCTTCCTCGACCGTCTCATGTTCCTGAACTGGAGAGTGTGCGTCACTGGAACAGCCAAGACCGTGGAGGACTTGTGAGACAGTGCCAGCGCCCTAGGAATACTCTGTGCATGAAAAGTGCAGTGCAGAGCTGTTTGCCACCCCAGCTCTGTCTGCAGTCACAGACTGGGACTGGAACTCCCACCCCGAGGGCACCATCTAGCCCTTCCACTCCTTCCAGAGCCAGTGGCTTATGCCAGCACTTGGGTGTTACAAACGTTCAGGTAAGACACTCTTCAGGGGTGACTCTTAGGGAGAAAATCCACAGAGCACTAGATTTGGGTCCTAGGACTTGGATGCAGGGTTAACACATCTTTCTTTGAATATTTTGGCTGCTTTAGGGATCAATATGAGGTCCTCCTCAAGGCTAATTTATTGCTTATCAGCCTGCCTCCTCTCTCAGGGCAGGCCTGAAGGTAGAGCAGTGGGTGGTGGGCCAGCTGCTTACTGCATAAGATAATGTGTTGGAGCTGAATTTTAATATCTTTATTAATATTTTACATTAATGCTTTCCAAAAATATATTCCTACTCTAAGACTGTATCTGCCAGTTACCTTGTTACAAAGAGATCATCAGTAAATGAACACTGTTAGCAGAAGTTCTCTTTTAGAACATGAAGTAGCAGAGGCGAATTCAGATTTGTTCCCGCTCCCCTCCCCTCTTTTTACACCAAGGTAAAACGAGTATCTGTAATTCGAGGGTGGTGGCCCCTGGGCACCAGATGATTCAGTTATGTCTAATTCAAGTCTTCAGACTAACTGCCAGAGACACTCCTCAGATGAGATCTCAGGAGCCTCTGAGAACCGGCTAAGCACAGCGCCCTGGTCCATCCCGAGTCCCTGTTCCCTCAGCCTCGCTCACACCGCTGACGAGGCTGGACAGGGAGGTCCAGTGTGAATTACATGCCTTCCCTTTAGTGAAGTGGGGTAATCCAGACCAGGAAAAGTCCAGGGAGCTGTTTCACTCTCCAAACTTACTCTGAAACACAGGCTTGGACTAGTTGGGCGTGGGCATTCCACGTGTTGGAGCCATGTAAATTGGATTAATCTCAGGCAAAATCAAGTCTGTGTGGTGAGGGCAGGGTACCAGCCCTGCATCTTCCGTACATAAGCAGGTTTGCGTCCCACGTAGGAGAAGCGTGTGGGCTTGGACTGTATTATAAAATGTACTAGGCAGAGTATAATCAGGCAGATTTCTCCACGATCAGTGCCATGGGCCCCGGGTGTCCTCCCTTTCCGCGGGCGCAGGGCTGCCTTCTGGGAAGTCTGTGCCAGGCCCAGCAAGTCAGCGGAGCAGGGGCCGCAGCTCAGGCCCAGCCCTGCCTTCTTCCCAGAGGGGTTTCTCTCTTAGGCTTCCCTGCCGAGCGCCTGCAGGAGGGCGGCTCCTGAGTACCTCTTCCCGGGAACCCTTCGCCTTCCCAGGTGCCCAGCCTCTTGGAAAGCCTCCCCAGGCCACTCCAGGTGCCACCCTGTGTGGTCCCTTCTCTAGAGAGAATGAAACAGCATGCACCCTGCCCTTTCTGGGCGGTGCCTTCAGCCTACTCCCTGGCTCGGCCCTGCGGGCCTGTTTCTGCCTGAGCCGTGATGAAAGCCCCACCCAGCGCCGGAGCGCGTCCTGCAGATCTGTGCAGAGACCGTGCAGGGAGGGCACCATGCAGGGTGGGGGGCACGACACCTTCCAGAGTCAGCTGGGAGGGCTCTCCACCCAGCAGGCACCCAGGGACGCGCGCCTCAGCCAAGATGCTGCCCCTCTGACGTGCTGGCTGTTACTCGGGGTCCCCGGAGGTGGTGGCTGTTACTCGGGGTCCCCGGAGGTGGCGGCTGTTACTCGGGGTCCCCGGAGGTGGTGGCTGTTACTCGGGGTCCCCGGAGGTGGCGGCTGTTACTTGGGGTCCCTGGATGTGCCGCTTGTTACCAGGGTTTCTGGTGATGCCGGCTGTTACTTGGTCAGGATGCTCCACCCTCTTCCTGGGCTGTTTGCTGGGAGGCTGGAGGGTCCTGCCCTCTGATGCCCCAACACACACACAGACCCTCCCCCCCAGAACAGGGAGAAGGGGCCCTTTCACTCTAAGACCAAGGAGAGCACTCCTGGGAGAGGGCAGAGCCAGGCCCTGAGGGGACTGGAGGAGGTTACACAGGGCTTCTACCTGTCACTTTAAACTGTAAGAAAAAAATATTTTCCCCAAGAAATGGTTGTACTGAAACAGTAAATTTTGAAGAGCTATAAAATATTCTTCCATTCCAAATTCAAACATCCTACACAGAGAATCCTCAACCCTTTTAAAGAAAAGCCTTTAAATACAATGGTTGGTTTTGAAACTTTAATAAAAGTAAAAAAAAGAATGCAAAAGAACACAATGCTGAAAACTTAGTATGAATGTGAATTTCACTAGATGTTCAAATCTGGTATAGTGCAAATTTTTTGTACTATTTTACATTTTACAAACTCAAATCACTTTGGCTCATATACTTGCTATGAAGTATCAGCAACAAAGTTTCTTCAGATCCGTATCTTTTGGCTACATTGTTTCCAACAGATATAAATTTATTTCCAGTTTAAGAGAAAAAAAATACTCATCCGTGCACGATCAAGTATATTTGATTCAATTACTGCTTTTATCTAATAACTTCTGGTTGTTCATAAAATGCTGACATGTTCACTGAAAAATCTTTTCGCATAGCTGATCATTCATTTTGGTTTTCAGAAAATGTATAAGGGATCACTGCAAAGTTTGGAATGATCCCACTTTCTTTTAAACAAAATTCCTCTAGGACAGATTAGCTACAGCAACCTAAAGTTTACTCCAGGATATTTTCCTCCAAACAAAAACCAAACCACAACCAGGACCACCATCATGTGAGTGGAGCCGCGGCCACCGCTCACAGCCACGGCGCCCGGCCCGCTGACTGCCGACTGCTGCTGTAAAGGAGTCTTTCATCAAGCCACTTTCACAGAATTTGAAACAACCAAAAACATTTGAATTGCAAAATACAAAAAGGTAAATTTGTAAGTAAAAATGACACGTTTACTAAACCCACAGAACTGGAGTATTTCAAAGGACCAGAGCTCAGTGGAGGGCAAACAACAAAGTAACTTCGCGGCCGAGAGAAATTATTGCTGGATTTGCCTCCATGCAGCACTGAAATGGAGAACCCTCCTTACCATCTTATACGTTAAAAAAAAATAAATATTTAAGAGAATACAAGGCTCAGATTGGTTTTCATATACATTGCACTTGAAGTTGAAGACCCAGTACTTGCAAGCTGGGTCTAACATGGTCTATGCCATTAAATGAATACATTGTGCTCACACGTCTTTGCGTATTTAGAAACACCAAATGTTTAATGCAGTGACATATGCACTCTTCTTTCTACAAGGCAATCACAGATTGCAAATCCTATAGGGCTGTGGGAAAAAATCGTCACCTCTGTCCCAAAGCATCAAAGGAACAGACGGTCCTGGCTCCTAAGACTGAGACACACGGCAGACAGTGGTTTCCTCCTGGACGACTGGGGCTTCTGGGTGGACCGCAAACGGAGGTGGAAAGTCCAGGACGTCACAGTGCAGGACGAGGACCCCTCACGGCCCAGCCGCAGTCAGATTGTCTGCACGAAACCCTGGGGGGACCGGGAGGCCCGTCCTGCACCGTGACGTGCACAGCCGCGGGAGCCCAGCCTCCCTACACTGACCCCCTGCCACCTCTTTTTTCACACAACCCTATTTTTAAAAATCTTTTGGATCAGTAATATTCCTATAGTACCACTCTTCGTCTCTGTAAGCACCATCGAGCTACCCCCGGGGCACCGGTACGAAACCAGAGCTGGTAGTTAGGCTTCAGTTCGAGGCCCTGAAGTATGGCAACTTGTTTTAATAACGAATGAAACCGAATCCTGGGGACCCTGTGGCCGGCGGCCCAGCTCTGGCACCTCCGGGGCCGCCGGCATGGCAGTGCCTCACCGCGAGCGGTCCCTCCTCCCGCCCTGCTGTTCCAGAAGAGATGCCACCTTCTCTAGGGTCGCCTGCACAGTCAGCCTAGTCCACATACATCATTGAGGAAAAAAGGGAACCTTTGTCACAATCTAGTCTCACAGGTTTTCTTCCCAAATCTTGCGATTCTTCAGGATCAGTGGCTTTGAAGACTCAATCACTGTGTGGCTTTTCAGGAACACCCTATGTGCGAAAAGAGAAAAACAGCAAGAGAAAATTAACACTAACTGTAAACACATTCTAACTAGCAAGAAAGTGGACCCAAAAAAGTGAACGGTGAAAAATTCCCTTGAATGGGATAAGATGACGTAGACAAGAAATGCAGAACAGCAAACACAATCCGACAACCCCAGTGGGATGTCCTCCCCGGCCCAGGCCGGAGCCACCTGTCCACTGAGAGCAGTGAGGCGGGCGGGGCGCAACCCCCAAGCCGAGTGGCAGCCTGGGGCTACTGAGAGCACAGGCTAGCCCATCTGCTCACTCTGCAGCCAAAGGAGCACCGTCTCTTCTGTAAGTCGGTTTGTCTGGGGAAAGGGAGGTGTTTGCCACAGACCAAATGAACACCTGGTTTCTGCCATAACTCACCCTACCAGCAGTCTAGTGAGACAGACATCTGAAGCAGATCTCGCTCCAGAATGCTTTCACCGACAGAGCTTCACAGCTCAGAATGCGAGTCCACACTCGCTTCTCACCTGACCTGCACCTGTTACTGCCCTCCAGGCCCTGCCCAGTCGATCCCCAGAGGACAGCGGTTCACTGATGGAGGGGCAGGCCCAAGATCAGATGGCTCTCCTGAGGCCACAGAGCAGCGGAGGGCAGATGCACCTCAGGGGGAACCTTTTCTCCTGACGCAGTCTTTCCTCTTGCTTCTCGAGGAGGTGGAGGAGCCCTGGTCTACAGACCAGCCACGCTGCGAGCTGGGGGCTGGTTCCTGCCCTGGGGCGCTCGGACTCTGAGGAACTGACAAGCTGACTCCAGGAGAGCTGCCCGAGAGCAGCACCCACACAGCATCTGCTTCCAGGACGGAGGGCAGAGAAGGCCATGTGGTCCCGAGACCCGAGGTTCCAGTCCCGCTCTGCAACCATGCAGCGGGCGGGGCAGCCTCCCAGACCTGCCATTTCTCCACCTCCAAACTGCTGTTACAGGATGAAATCAGCTGGCAATGAAATGTTTAGCACAACACCTCGGGTGTAGCCAGTGCAGCCCTCAAAACCGATAATGTTACTACTACCTTTAGCTGCTGAATCTCACACAGAAACAGCAAATTCAGCTCCACCTGCCCGGGAAGCAGGGCTGTAACCTGGCGTCCCGGGGCCTGGGCTCCAGGAAGCAGGGCCACACTCCTCGCTGGGGCAGCTGGAAGCCTTACTTTTTCTGACAAAAGGCTTGAAGCTACAAAGTGCAACGAATACAGATTCTGTAAAATGATGTTAAGACTCAGACTGACAGCAAATACTGCACAGGAAAAGCTACTCAAACCACCTAAGGCCAACTTGTAGGTCTGGGGCCTGGCTACCTTGAAGTAATTACATTTCCCTTTGAGGGCAGGAACCATAGTCATGTGACCAGAGGAGCATGAGGGAGCCTGACGCAGCGGCATGTGGCGGGGTGGGGGGCGCGTCACCAGGTAGACCAGGAGCCTCACACCCCACTGGGCTCGGCCAGCTTTGGTCAGTGTTGACCAGTGCCCACCCCGGTCTCCTCACCTTCAGACCTTCATCTCCTCTGGTCTGTCACCTCCCATCACAGAAGCCCTACTTGGTGAAGATGCCAGTTTTAAACCAAGAATTCATTCTTAAACGCTGCCCCTAATACACCAGGCCAGTTGCACTTTCCGTGTGAGGGCCACAGGGAGGGCTACACTGGGAGCAAAGGCCTGCGTGGGCACAGCCCGAGGACACCGAGCCACTGACTGGGTTTTTAGGGTGGAAATAATTTTCAAATTCCGAACAAAGAGTAGAGCTCACTTTATAAGCTGTTAATTTTTTTCATTTCTTTGAAAGATGAAAATAAGGACTTGGCTGAAGCACCCCAACTCCTTTAAAAAGATAATGTTTAACTTGCTCTTTTTAAAGACTTTCTCGGACAAGAAAGATGCTTTGTCATAGCCCAAACTTTCAAGACTCCACAAAACTGTGGTAAGAGGATGAGCATTTCTAAGGTTAAAAGTTCCGGGTCACAAATACAAAAACGTGCAGGGCACACTCCACAATTTGCTAGATTCTCTACAGTGCTTTCAGGAGAGATTCGATCACAGACACTTTGAGGGATGGAAGAAGAAACAAAAAGGCAGACACCAGGCTGGACAGAGGGAGTTTTCCCCAATTTTAAACAATAAAAACGATGAAAAAGCTTAAGGAGAATTACAGCTATACCAACTATCTGTTTGAAGTGATATTTAAAAACTTTCAACCATCTTTTCAAAAAACAAAAATGTCTGCAAGGGATAGAAGGATGGCTGACGAAACTCCCTCCCCGCAGAGTCACCGTCAAAGGAGTGACCACACCGCTCTCCTGAGTCTCCTTCCCCCCTCCAGGTGTGGGGAGCTTGTGCGTGACATGAAGCTTCCACCTCTATCAAAAAGATGTGCATTTACTGAAGCTGGCTCAGAGCCCTGCATCGTAAACGTCTAACAGTGCAGCCCAGCCGTCCTCCCAAAGGTCTAACAACCAACTGGCTGAATGTCGTCTGTTTTAAGTCTGTGAAGAGTCACGTGCTTGGAGACAGTTCACCCCTGAAGCCTGACTAGAAGCCTTCCACTGAGCAGCACTGAAACACAAACCTCAGACCAACACGGTCCCTGCACTGGCTCGTCCTACCCTGAACCAGCGCGGTGGGCGCCAGGAGAGGAGCCGGCGCCTGGAGGGGCCGCTCACGTGCCCCGAGGCCGCGTGACCACAGTGTTTGCGGAAAAAGGGCCAAGTCCTCTGACTCATCGGGGACGCGAGAAACAAGCTTTCTCAGTGGAGTCTTGTTTTGGCGGCAGATCGTCAAGGACTACAGAGGGAGGGAGGGAGGGAAGGACGATCCACACCCACGAGCCCAGGCAAACCACTACGAATTCCGCCCTCTGAACAGTTTCTGTTTCTGTGAACGGCCTAGGAGCCTCAGATTCAGCTCTCACGAGCATCAGCCGGCACAGAGGAGGGACCAAGACAAGTTTCTGAAGAAGCCCAATCGAGAAACCATTCCTCTCAGAGGCAAATGCTTAGTTCCTTTTTCTCGTAAGACTACAGCTTCTTTTTTGGTTCATTTTATTTAAGCCTCTGAGTCAGTCTACTTGAGACAACCGTTAAATAAACGTCCACATTTCCTTCTCTTTTACAGAAGTGCTCACGTGCTGACCTTTAACTCCAGAAAAGAATGACTAAGTGATCTCTGACTCTGTCTGGCTTCCTGGCTCCGGGAAACGGCTCGGTGCCTGTGGGTTCCCCCTTAGTGAGCCAGGCCACCCCCCACCCAGGTCCTACGCCCTTCCCTGGTATCGTCTGCCCCGCGTGAAGGCAGGGAGGGAACTCATTATAAATGGTTCATTCAGCCATTTCAGTTGCCTTTTCCCGACAGTTACCCCGGGAGCAGCAGCTCAGAAGAGCTGCTGAACGTGTCTGAGCCGTGAGGGCGGCGCCAGGACCCTAGTTCCCATCCAGCCCTCCCTGAGTTGACAGATCCCTGAATCCCGGAGTCTGTATAACTTAGCAAAGAAGTTCCTGGGCATTGTCCCTATTAAAAAAAAAAAACAAAAACGCGCTTTTCTGAATAATTGTTGCTACTGAGTCTCAGCTAGGCACCAACCAGTTCTAATGTGCTATGTAAAGCAAGCGTCTCAGGCTAAAAACCAGAGCCAGCGCAAAGGCGACAACCTCACATACCATGGCCAGTTGCCGCCCGATGTTTCCCACTGTCACGCCTCCCGAGAAGAAGATGCAGGGCAGCCAGGAGCGGATGTAGAGGAAGTCTGGGGATGTGTACCTGGAGGGAGAGGGAGACGTGAGCCCGCGCAGCCGGCTCCCCGGCGCCCGCTCCGCCAACAATGCCTCAACGCTGTGTCCACCGTGACTGCCTGGTTTTCCTCCACATCAGGTGTGTTACATCCACACAGGTTTCCTTTATGCTTACAACCTTTACAGACAGTGCATTTTTAACACGTGGATCAATGACAAGCAGTGTTTCTGAGAGTTTCATGCCTAAAGTTATGTCACTGGACACAGATAATACACCCCAGCCTAGTGGGCAGTCCTAATAAAAGTCAGGTAACAGCTTCCAGCTGGCGGTGACGTTTGAGGGCACGTGCTTACTGGTAGACACCGTTGTACACCAGCAGCTGGGTGATCAGAGTGGCGAGGAAAGCGATGGTGATCCCAAGGCCGAGGCCGCTTCTTGAACGGTCGAATGTCCACCAAAGGCCCAAAGACAGGGCCGCTAGCGTCAAGGAGAGCTGAACGTTATTGGCAAAATCCAATTTCTGGTGACACAGAGTTAAGGAAAAGTTTAATACTTTTTAATACAACCAAAACCAAACAACCTCCAGGGCCGACGCGTCTGCACCACACAGCTCTCCATCCACAGAAGCTGCCCGATTAGCCGCAGAAAGGCCTTGCTGGACACAAGGCTGCCTTGCCATGATCAAGATTACAAGGAACTCCTCCGGCACCACTGGGTCAAACTCGACTTTACAAGTAAACTTTCCGAAAGCCACACAGAAAATTCTACAGGGATTTCAGCCACAAATCAACATATTTTACTAGCAAGTCTTCTATAGTTCCACTTTTACTTCTTTTTTTATTAGTAATTTGAACTGAGCAAGCACGGTCTTCGCCCCACATATGCAAGAAGCAGACACCTCATCACAGTGGCCTTCACCACGACACAGCTGGTGGACACACAGCTGGCTTGATCACAACACACTTATCAACTGTGAAAAACAAATCTGTCAGAGCCAAGATATCTTCTAATACTCCTTTTTGACATTTTCATCATTAAAATTGGAGTGGAGCAGATTTAAGAAGCAGTAACTCTAAAAATGCCTTTCTCCAGGATTTAAAAACATAATCTAGCTGTACTAAAGGAAACCGTAAATCTTTTGAGACCTGGTAACCTATGGCCCATTTTCTGAAAGCTGCACTATGTACATTTGTGTAACGCTGTCCACCTAGGTGTGCCCAGCTGCGCCCTCCGTGCTCACAGCCAGGCTTCTCCTCAACCTTCTGGAAGACACAGCTCCTTACTGGGCCAAGGAGCCAGGTCTTCACAATGGAAGTATGTTTAAGGTAGAATTTACAGAACAAAGTCCAAACCAAAAAGGGAGGAGAGTCGGGGCGTCCGCTCTGGTCCTGGTGTTACTGAACTGTTCCCTGAAACGAACTGAAAGGACTCCAAAAACCACTCTTAAAACTCTGCTTAGAGCAAACTGGGCAACACACTCTGAAGTTACACTCGGAAGAAGACTGTCCAAGTCACCAGGAGGGTAACAGACATTTACTATAAGTAACGGAACACCCGATATGTAAGGCAAGACACTGTCCCGGGGGGCACAGCCACGGAAGGATACGGCACTGGCGTGGTTGATGCCGACGAAGACCGCCACGCAGCGCATGACGCTGGCCCACTCCCTCTTGAACTTGTGTGGCTCTCCGAGGTGACTGTCGATGCAGGGGTAGAGGAGGCCGACCACAGCTGTGCGGGAAGGAAGGGGCGGCGTCAGCGCTGCCAGCTTAAAGTGACGTGGTTTCCACGTGGCAGCTACTAAACCACTCCTTTTCCTAGAAGATTTACCAGCTACGGTATAATATTCAAATTTAAACAGATTTTATGTTTTTGTTCTCCTTGAGTACTAACAACAAAAAAACACACTGTTTTGAAACATTTAAAATTAAAACGCAGTTCTTTGGTTTGAACCATGGAAGGGACAGAGCAGGGGGTTCATTACTCACTTACAAAACACTCAAACACCTGTGCAGCTGGCCTTGTGTTTGTGTCAGTGTCGTTCCATTTTACAGTGCAGAGGTGAGCGTCCACCAGTGCCATGAGGCCACAGCACAAGATCTGACATTCCTCAGACTCGCACCAATTCTGGGCACCTTTGTGTTGCTCTGACTTTGCCCTCTGGGTCACAAAAGCCACATTCCCAGAGGGTGGCCCTGCACTTGACGGTTAATGGGTTACAGCATTTTCTGCAGGAGCCCCTGAGTGTGCCCTGGGCATCACCCGTGGGGCACTGGACAACCACGCTCGGCGGTCCCTGAGCCCAGGCACAGGAACAAGGCCTCGCTCCCAGTTCACCTGGTGGAACCTGGCTCTTCGTGTTTGTTTCCTCGTGTGTAAAGTGATGAGGATTATGTAACTAGAAGACAGAGGAGGAAGAGCTTGCCGTGGTCTGGAATAGTGAGCAAGTTTTCCCAGAAACAGGATTCTAAAGCATGAGAGTTCACAGAGAATTCAGTCAGGGCAGACACTGGCATTCCATGAGAGAAAATGGAAAAATAAAAGCAAGAGAGAAGAGGGCGCGTGGTGACTGGTGGGGTGCAGACCGGGGGCCCAACTGTGGACACAAACTCACTACATAAAGTCGCCCAGGTACTGCGGTTTGAGCCAGGCAGGAGCTACACCTGGTGTCCACGAAAGAGGGAACCATTTTAGGTTCCTGAACAGAGAAAGAAACACAGTTTCAGCCAAACATTTGATGAAAGATTCTGTCTCAATTTCATATTACATTTTATCAAGTTCTAATTTTTGGCGTTTCGGAAAATGGAATCAAACAATTCTGTAACTTTAGTCACTACAACTTAATCTTGCCCTTAAGGTTGAAAGCTAAATAGGTGGAAATGTACTAAGGAATTTTTCCCTTATACTCTTAACTGATGGTTAAAAAAAGGAAGTAGGGTATGAGCAATTGTGTTTCAGATATCCCTGGAATTCCTTGAAGCTTCAATTACAAAGATAGCCTAAACTAAAACGGTTCAGTGGTTTTAAGATCAAGTTTCTGATTCAGAGAAAGAAACTACTGTGCCAAATGGGGTGAAAAATAAAATTCTGCACTTAGATCTGCTTCTCAAAAACTATTCTTAATAGTATAACCTTATACTTAGAATTTAGAAAAACAAAGCAGGATGCTGTCTTTCTGAGAACAAAGGTGGAAACATTCTACCCACTGCCTGGTAAGCACAGCACCCCTCCCCTCATGTGTCCTGGCTGGAACACAGTTCTCCAGCTCCAAGTCTGGGGCTTCCCTGCTGTTTGGTGTGAGTCTGCCCAGAAGGCAGCATGTTTCTACAGTGCAGGGGACACACCCAGACTCCATGGGGGCGGCAGGTAGTTATGAACAGCGAGCCACTCTGCTGTGTCCCCTTGGCCATGGTTGCTTAACCTGTCTGTAATTCAGTTTCTACGTCTGTAAAATGGAGCTATAGCAGAGGCCTGCTGTAAGGACTAAAGCAGAGCACATAAAACACAAGGTAAGCCGTCCGTGACCATCAGTCACAGAGCACACAGGAGGGTGCCCCTCCTGCAGTACTGCAGTCACTTAGGTCCGCACCTGTCCTGCCTGCCGACCACGGGATGCCCCACAGGGGCTGGTCTGCTCACTCGGTACTTGAAACAGCAAGCACCAGACAGATCAATGAATGCTGTGCGTGCAGACAAGTTCTAAGTGCTCTTCTGGGCCGAGATCATTTTGGCATTTTATAAAACCGGCCAAAAAACCAAGAAATTCTACTCAAAAAAAAAAATCCACCTGTTCAGTTTATAGACTGTTGATCCTGGGTTGTGTTTTGTGGCTGGCCGAGTGTACTAAGATCTAAACTCTGAACAGGGGTTCCTTTTCCCTACCAACGTCATCTACAGGGCCCAGCAGTATTGGGAGGAAAGCCTGGCTTTGGCCACGTTCACTGGGCCATCCCGAAAAAGGAAGTGAGGGAGGCCAGCAGCTCTGCCCACCCAGCCCACGTGACGGTTTGTTTTCAGTCACCCAGAGGTGTAGCGTGTTCTTGGGGGCAGCCAATCGCACTTCAGTCCCGCCGCTCACCAGTTCCGCCTGCGGCCAATCCAGGCGGCGCGCTTAGGATGACAGCTGCGGGGCTCCCCCAACGCTGTCCTCAGGGCCAGGTCAGTAGGAGGGAAGGACCTCGGCCAGCCTGGCACAGACAGTTCTTGCCCCACCTTGTGTCCATCCCTGGGATTCCCCTGGCCTCCAGAGACTAGCTGGGAGGGTCACTGTCCTCTCCTTCCTTCCCTAAACACGGTCACTGGAGATGTACACTTTTCCTTTGTGGATGGTCCCATTTTCAAATAAATGGTCCTCAAAGGCTGAAAAACATTCTTAACCAAACATACGTTTTCCATTTCTACTCACCAGCCGCCGTCCCACAACAGGGAGGAACCCACCAGGCAGAGGAGAAGATGGTGGCGATGACCTCCTCAGGGAACAGGGTGACATTTCTCTGGACCTGCAGCAGGTTCAGCACCAGGGCCAGGACGACCCCCACTGAGAACAGCACCAGGCTCCTCTGCAGCAAGTGGTGGTGCCAGCTGTGGCCCCCCAAGCCAGAGCTCTGAGGCCCGGGGGCAGGGTCAGTGCCCCCGGCACCGTGGGCCACCAGCAGAGAGGGGCCGGACACTGAGGACGTGGTCATTTCTCCCACTTTGGTCTCCAGTCCTCCGGCACCGGCCCTCAGGTGGCTTCTGTGCTTCACGCCCTTAGCACAGGGACAGCTCCAGAGGTGGTCGTCCAGTCTAGGCATCAGCCACCAGTCTGACGGGCTTTCCTACAAGAAAAAGGGGTGGAGAGGTGGAATCCCCATCAAGTTCACTTCCAAAACACACAGCAGGTCCAGGTCCAGGTCCAGGGAGGCCTCTGCCCAGGTTCATTGCCGGCACGTCCAGGAAAGCCCTCAAGTCCCTCAGAGAGCGGGTTCCGCGGCAGCCCACGGGCAGGGACCACGGGGACAGGACTGCAAGGACACTGCCCACACGCCCCACCTTGAGGGGTGCACAGGCTGCTTTCAGCGGCAGCCAGGTGTTAGGTACACCTGAGTGTTAACGTCCTGCGGCGATGCCCTCTCCGTAAGCCCTGAAGTTCTGGCCCGTCCAGTCCAGAAGTTTTCCAGACCTCGTCTGTCTGCAGGAGGCAGAGCCCAAGTTGCTGGGGCCCTCCTGGACGGAGAGAAGCACTAGCCGGGCCAACACGGGCTTGGGGGTGCAGCCCCCATCTCCGAGGCTGGGGCTGGGATCTGGGCATGCGTTCAGGCCCGAGGGTTGGTGCCGAGGGCCCCAACGG